ACACTAAATCCATTGGATGTTGGATGTGTACTGATTGATATTTTAGTTTTTTTCATAAGTTGTAATTTGCTTTGAACTAGCTGTCAGTTACTCCGAGTACTCTTAGATCTATACGTTGTGTTTTGCCACGTCCGGTCTGCGTTTTTGTTACATGTTTTTCTGTAAGCCCTTTTCAACTGATTTTTATAGTTTGTTTTTATGTTTTACTGTTAAACCACACTCCCAGGTTAGGCGTAGATTTGCACCTTCTAACATGTTTAACCCCGCAACATTCCATATGTGCCTGTCCCAAGTCAGGAGCCTGTAATTGAGTGAAAGTGTTTTTTTGTTATTTCTCTTATTTGCTTTTTGTTTATTGTTTTTTGAGGTTACAAAAGGTGTAGTTCTTATTCTTATGATAAGATCCTGACATACATTTTACTGAGGAACGAGACTCTGGTGAGAACTATGTTACATTCAAATAATGGAGTAATGAGAGGGAAATTGAATCCACTTATGCACAACTTGTCTGTAACATTAAAGATTGAACTGGAAATTTTGAAGTGTGCATAAAGATTTCTTTATACTGCTAATTCATTAGTTCTTCACATTTTTCCATCCAAATTATGGCTTCAAGTACTCCTGCGCGATATTATGCTATTTAACTATATAGTTCAAGTTTTGCAAACGTAATTTGAAAATGAGAAATGTAGATGAAGCCCATGAGTAGAATTACTCACCTCTAAAAGGAGAAGGTTGGACAATCCGATTGACCATCAATATCGCACAAGTACAGCATTTAAATATGGTGTCTTGTCCAGAAATGGCTATAGTAATTAACAAGTTTCAATCCACCTCTGAAATAATCAATTCGACAAATGATGTTCTCCACCAGGAACGGGTTACAATCAAACAAACAATATTTTCAAAGCATGTGAAAGCTGTCGGTGAGGGAATGATTCGGCTTTTTACCAAGAGTGTTACTTCGAGTTAATGTAAATGGCATATATCATATTGGACATTTATCAGCATTGTAATGGGCTAATAAAATGTGGTTGAAAGATAGAAACGGATTTCACAGTAGATAAAAATGCGAGAGGACAATGATGTTATGTACGATGCTGTTTAAAATGTGGTGGAGAGTGGGGCAAAGACTAAATTGGCTGTCCTTAAGAAACATTTTCAAAACTGCTGTGAAAATATGTTGCTGTCTACGCGATAAAAAAAGATGAAAAAGATACTTAGGCACTCAAATATCATTAGTAAAACAAAACCAGATAACAACATGGATAAAAAACGCCCAAACGACAAACAGAAGTCAAGAAAATTACTACACAAAAATCTTTAAACTAAAACGGAATGATCTGAGTTGCTCAAAAAGGGTCAGCAGTTCCTGATCCACAAGTGACCCCTACCTAGATGCTCTTGTTTAGATAGATTGGTGAGTCGTATCCAGTAATTAGGCATAATCATACAAATAAACACATCATCGATACCAGGATTGAAATTTTGTATTTACGCCAGACGCGCGTTTCGTCTACAAAAGACTCATCAGTGACGCTCGAATAAAAAAAAGTTAAAAAGGTAAAATAAAGTACGAAGTTGAAGAGCATTGACGACCAAAAATCCTAAAAGTTTTGCCAAATACAGCTAAGGTCATAATAGTTCATTTATAAGTTTCTCTTTTCTAATCATTAGAATCATGTAAAAACCATGTTATCTAAAACTTGACCGAATGTGAACGTTTGAAATGAAATAGGGTTTTCGATGTATGTACACAACATTGGAAGCATAAACAACACGAGTCCCTTTTCATCAAACCTTGAGGTCAACTCAGGTGTTCCAAAAGGGTGTGTAGTTTCTGGTCAACTGGTAGAACGCGTACTGTTACTCATTGCAAGTAGACATTCGGTGGTTAAGCGTATTTATTGATCATTTTGATCCACAATCGAGGAAAGAGAAAGGATTTTGGCTAGGAGAAGTGGAACATATCCATTAACATTTGTGACTCGGATGGTACTTCACTGTCAAACAATTGCTGATGGCGTCCAAAAAACGTTCGAATGTTTCCATTTATGGGATCTTTGATTAAATTGTCTTGTAAGCAGCATCCATGTATCATGGAAACGCATTCCCTAGAATATTGTTTGAACCGCAACATGCAATACGATCGAAGAAATAAATATCAGCAGAGCCTTCTCTTGGTGTTGTTCATTTGCAATTTTTGGTGGTCATTTTGAAATTTTCGGCCATTTTGAAAAAAAAAATGAAAGTCTTATTTAACCTCAGGACTTACTAGAGACGTTGGATTACATTTTATATGCATTGAAAGATTTGATTTGAATATTATTCGCTGTAATTCATAAATGGTGGTTAAATTTGGACTGATTGACAGACATCTTGAAATTGGCCGCCATATTGGATTTTTCAGAGTGCCACTGGTTCCATAGCTAAAATTGACTAACAAATATATATCTACAATTGTGCAAAGTTTCATGCTTTATCATCAAACCCACAATTCTTCTTAAACTATGCACGAATCAGCTAGACTATAAAACTACATTCATGTAAGGTTCAAGCCTCTCTAGTCGAGGACATCTTGTGATAATTTCGGCAAAATTTGAATTTGGAATATTCCCTTTCAAAACAGGTGTTATAATGTTATCATTTATTTCGACCACTAACTGAAAATAATTCCTTTTTTTATCTTAATATATACTCGTAATCAAGTCACATAAATAAAGTACTGAGAATATTACCCACTGAGTACCATGTAGTTCACAGTGAAATATCAAAGGCACGGCACTGGGTGTTGTGCTCTATTATGTACATGATATTCACAGACATCCATCTATGGTAGTTATAATGTTACCCGTATATCATATTACTCACATGTATAGTAGCTTGAATACATTTTTAAAACTTCTTGATAACTATATTGAATTGCAGCAATGGCGTTTATGTGGTACATTTTGTCATCCACCAATAAATGTATTAGACACCGGCTACACGTAGGACAGTTCATGCGCAAGAACAATTTATCTGATTATGTAAATTAAATTAAATTATATACATTTGTATTTACAAATATTGCATACATCATCTAGATATTATTGATTAAGATATAAGATAAAGTAAGGTTACAATGTAACTCCAGAATGTTTTTATGTACTAGAGTTATTTTCAAACAGTCATTTAATCTTTAACACCATTTAATAAAGTGCTTCGCCGAGTGCAGCTGGATACGACCGCAGAGGTCCAACCCTGAACAGTTTGGGCAAAAATGGACACAAATTCGCGCTTGATACAGGTCTGAATTTGGATTGTAATTAAATATTTGACACATTGTTTTTTAATCCCCCCCCTCCTTTGCAAAAAAAAAAGTAATATTTAAAGAAATTTTCTTTTTCATTTCTGAAATCTAAAATGAGAAAAAATTTCACCCCCCCCCCCTCAAAATTTGTTTTTTACCCCCCCCCCCCCCTCCCCCCCCCCCCCCACAATTTTTTTTCATCTCCGCCTTTTCAAAAAAAAAATGGGAATGTGTCCATGGAACACAGATGATGCCCTCGCTTGTATATAATGTTATAAAGGGACATAACTCAAGAACAGTAAAAGTGACGCCACCAAAATTCAAACTTGATCTGTGTTTTGTGGTAATAAGCATTGTGTATAAGTTTCATAACATTTGGTTGAGGCAAACTAAAGTTAGAGAACGGAAACCAATTTAGGGACGTACGGACGGATGGACGGACGGACGTACGTACAGACGAATAAGGGTAAAACGAAATACCCCCTCCACTACGGCGGGGACATACAATATCTTTCCCTCAAGATATGGTCATAATCTCAATTGAAATTTCCAATGGAGTTTGCAACCATAATTACCCATTTAAATACATCATAAAAGTCTTAAAATAGAAAATGACATACATAATCATGGCTAAAATTAATATTCCTTAATCAGCATTTTTAAAAGTAACTTCTAAAAATAAATTGACAGCTAATCACACCAAAGACAATACAATATTTCTTTATATATAATTTAAAAGCAGTGTAAGGGAGGTAATCCAAACATAACATTGTACTTTTAAGTAATTGTCCATTAACCAGGAAACCCTTGTTTTCCCCCTTTTTCTGCCCCTTTTTTCTAATCGGTTTGAGCCATAACCCCCAAAGCCAATCCTAACCATCCCTTTGTGGTATGGAAACTTGTGGTCTAATTTCTGAGAGATCCATACACCTTTCCACAAGTTATTGTCTGGAAACTAGAAAAATGCTATTTTGGCCACTTTTTGGACCCTTATTCCTAAACTGTTAAGACCATAAACCCCAAAATCAATCCCAACTTTCCTTTTCTGGTTATAAACCTTGTATTTAAATTGTATAGATTTCTATTTACATATACTAAAGTTATTGTCTGGACACCAAATGTCTTCGGACGACGCAGACGACGACGACGTGATACCAATATACGACCGCAACATTTTTTGTGGTCGTATAAAAATGGTTCAGAACTACAATGTTAAAAGTTTATCATTGCTCTTGGTTGAGTATTATATATATGGAAAACAATGAATAATAATGAGTAACATGCATTACAATAATAAATAATTCTATTGGAAGTAAAGTGGTAAATGGTTTTTTTTTTTAAATAATTATAAATATGGGTTGCTGTCTTATTGATCTGAATCCAACTCTCATTTTATTCATACTAATAATACAAAGCGTTACATGCAATTGTCCTCATCAATAAAACTGACTGATGTGAATTGTAGGAATTAATCCTTATGGGACCCTTCATTGTATAGCAGGTGGAAAATTCGTAAATTCAAACAAAATTCAAAACGTTAAATAACCTCTGTGATTACGGACATTATGAACTTGTACATGTACAGTGATTTTAAAGGTGTAGAAAGACATGCTCATTTGATTTTTGCAACAAATGATGTAAATATTTTCAATGTTCAATTTTTAAATACAGCTGCCACTACTTATATTGATTAATCAGCATGCGTTCATGTATACATTTACTTCCTCATAACAATATTGTATTTCAACGCTTTAACATTTTGAGTGTCTCTCAGAACAGGTAATGCAATTATATATTCTTTTGAACATTGTTTGTTTTAATTAGAAACAGTGGACATATCCTTTGAACGCACCGATCATTCTTATTCTGTCTGTGCAAAGGTGGGATGCCTTTTGAAATGAATTATTTGCTTGTCAAACAGTTTTTTTTTTATTAAAGTTTGAAGTTATGTGACCCGAAAATACCCTTCCCCAAAATAGGACAAAACAATACCATACCTAATTATGTTTAACTACACTTCTTTATGTATGCTATTTGATGCCAAAAATGTCAAGTAAATTCATGTGATTTCATGATAAATTGCCATACAGATACATCTGACCAGTTCCTGAGTGTTATTGTGTTACTCACATTCACGTTATTTGCTACATATTTTCTACCAATGATCTAACTTTATTTAAGGCTAGAAATGTTTCCAACGAACGAAGTGCTCCAAATATTCTAATGCAGAATTTGTATTTAAGTTTTAAGTCTGATAGTTTGTTGGAAGAAATTTCTTCCCATTTTTTAACAGCTACATGTTTTTCATTTTAGATCTACATGTAGGTCTGATAGAAGACATTTCTCCCAACTTACTAAATGCCACAAATACTTCATTTTAGGTCTATGTTTGATAGAAGAATTTGTTTTCAACGAACTAACTGCTTCAAATATTTCATTGAAGTTTGATAGAAGAAATTTCTTACGACTTACTAACTGCCACATTTTAAGTTTCCAACGAACTATATGTGTTTCATTTTAGATCTAATTGTAGGTTTGATAGAAGAAATTTCTTCCAACGAACTAACGGCTGATATTAGGTATTTCATTTAGGTTTAAATCTGGTAGAAGAAATTTCTTTCAAAGAGCGATCAGCTCGAAGTAATTCATGTTACGTTTGATATAAGACATTTCTTCCAACGAACTAACTGCCATAAGTATCATATTTTACGCATAAGTCTGATAAAAGAAATTTCTTTCAATGAACTTACTGCTCCAATGATTTTAGTTTTGTATCAAATAATAGAAATTTCTTATTTGTGTACACTTCCTTACGGCAAAGTTTTTACCCACTCCTAGTGTGTTCTAAAATTTGTCTCCTGCCCTGAAGCAAACAACATCATACAACATTTCTTATTTTTCAGCACAGGGGTGATGGCAGGAATTGCTATCGTCCAGTTTCCCTATAGCAAAGTTCTTGACCACGTACATGTGGTAAGATTGAAAACTATAATCTATATTTTCAATCAAAATGATTACATGGGTGGGAAAGTAAACCTGAAGACTTCACTGACCACCCAAAGTCTAAGTTACCTATTAATTACGGGTATGGGCACACTTTTCCTTATTTGTATACATTTCCCAACGGAAACGTTTTTACCAACTCCTAATGGATTTGAAAGCTTGTCCCCGGTCCTTTTATTTGTGAAAATGCCCGGATGGTAAAGTGCACGGAAGCTCACACCATCATACAAAATTTCTTATTTTTCAGCACAGTGGTGGTGACAGGAATTGCTATCGTCCCGTTTCCCTACAGCAAAGTTCTTAACCACGTACATGTGGTTAGATTGAAAGCTATAATCTATATCTTCAACTAAAATGAATACTTGGGTGGGAAAGTGCAACTGAAGACTTCACTGACCACTCAAAGTCTAAGTTACCTATCAAATACAGGTATGGGCACACTTTTCCGTATTTGTGTACATTTCTTAACGGCAAAGTTTACCCACTCCTAGTGGTTTGAAAGCTTGTCCCAGGCACTTTTATTCATGAAAATGCCCGGGTGGGAAAGTACACTGGAAGCTCACAACATCATACCGAATTTCCTAACCGTAGATGGTTAGATTAAAAGCTATTATCTATATCTTTAACTCATAAGAATACTTGGTTGGGAAAGTGCATCTGAAGACTTCACTGACCACCCAAAATCCAAGTTACCTATCAACTACGGATACGGGCATACTTTTCTGTATTTGTGTACATTTCCCAAACGGCAAAGATTTTATCAACTCCAAGTAGGTTTGAAAGCTTGTCCCAGGTCTTTTTATTCATGAAAATGCCTAGATGGGAAAGTGCACCGGAAGCTCACAACATCATACAAAATTTCTTATTTTTCAGCACAGGATTGGTAGCAGGAATTGCTATCCTCCCATTTCCCTACGGCAAAGTTTTTGACCACAGGTGGTTAGATTGAAAGCTTTTATCTATATCTTCAACTCATAGGAATACCTCGGTGAGAAAGTGCATCTGAAGACTTCACTAACCACCTAAAGTCTAAGTTATCTATCAATTACGGGTTTGAGCACTCGTTTCCGTACACTCCCTTATGGTAAAGTTTTTACCCACTCCTAGTGGGTTGGAAACTTGTCCCAGGCCCTTTTATTTATGAAAATGCCCGGGTGGGAAAGAGCGCCGGCCTTTTTTACTCAGTAAATTAAAAATAATAACCATTATCCTAAGTTCAAATAATGTGACCTTAATTTTATGTCGAACTTTACATTATTCTTACTTTTCCTGGTAAAATTCAACATCAACAGTCTCCGGGACAAGTTTGCACTTCAGCTGAGTGCAAAAGATGTCACCTTAATATTTGGAGTTAAGTAAAAATGAAGTTGATAACTTGGTTGGTATTGGTTCCATGATATTTGTCCTAAACATTTTGGCTCTAGCACCACTGTTGAAAAAGTTATGCCCCTTTTTTCAACAATTTCCTCAGAGGAAAAGTAGTTTTCTTCAAGGGAAATCAAATTTCCCTAAAGGAAAAATATTTTTCCTCAAGGGAAAAAGATTTCCCTTAGGGAATTTGCTGCATTAATATTTCCTTTGAGGAAAGTCTATTTCCTGTGAGGAAATTTGCGGCTTCAAATTTTCCTTTGAGGAAATACTTTTTCCTGTGAGGAAATTTTGTCAACAGCAATTTCCAGTTAGGAAATTTTTGACAAACACTTTTCCTTGAGGGAAAATTCAAGACCACAAATTTCCTCTAAGGAAAACATTGTTCTCCAAATTTCCTCTATGGAAATTTTTGTTATTGAATTTTCCTCTATGAAAATTTCAAAACAGTAAAAACAGTATGAATATAATTTTTCCTGAGACTTAATAATTGATACAAAAGATAATTAAAACTTGAATAAAATGTTCACTGATGAGTAACATGACATACAAAAACAATAGGCTAGCTGTTTGAGACAATACAATAATAAGCAAAACGCTATGAATATTATACTATTTGTGATGTTATTAATATTGTGCTCATATTTGCAGATTAAATAAAATAGCCACTTTTCATGTTAATTTAACTTTTCTTCTGTTTAAGCTGCTGCATACAATTATTCAATCCCCTACATAACAGTTCAGTGCATAAATAATTCCATCCACCAGACATCTTCCTTCAATTGGTAAAGGATACATTTTTGCAATTTGTTCTTCAAACATCTTCCTCTGTATATTTGATGTGACAGAGCTATGAACTTGAATGGATAAAGCAGGTGTTTATTTCGACAACAAAATACTATTTTTTCTACATTTCTCCATAACCCTTCAGTGAATATGTAGGTTGTTGCAATTACACAATTGTGTTCTTGTGCATCTATGTTTGTACTCCATTTTGTTTACAACCATTTTGTAGAAATTTCCTATTTTCTTTTTCCAGGTAAGCACACATTTCATTTCACATTAATCCAATTAGCACACAATGTAGAAAAGTATCAACCTTAAGTTTCCTCTTCTGTATAGACCTGTTGATGATCATGAAAACAAAGAAGTCTCACCTATAAATACACAAAATATAAATTGAGAAAAAAAAACCAGCAATATGAAATAAGCTTATTTTATCATGTTTAATATGAACATTTTGAGAAACTTAAATTTGATATTCTTACTAATCATGATTATGAGTTCTGTTATTTCAGTGCTTTGTGTCCACGACTTAATATCAGTCGTTTTAGTGCCTTGCAGTGATAATGAGTTGAGCCACTTGCAACAGTTTTTAGTTTGTTCATATGTTGTGCTATTTGAACCACTGTCCTAGATTATGGTTAGGTGGAGTGCTCACAGACATGATTTTTTTATTAATTTTTATTGGCTTTGAACTAATTTGGATTGTTTAATTTTTTCATGTTGGGGTCTTTATTGGCTGACTTATAAGGTATGGGTTTTCTCATTATCGAAGACCGTCATTGGTCTTTAATTGCTTGCATCCACTTCATTAAACTCTGGTGGATAGATAACTCATTTATCATACCACATCTTCTTATTTTTATAATAGTCATCATTCAAGGGCAATCACTTTTATTATATAGAAGTGGTTTTACCATTTAGGGCTTGTTGTCTTCTGTTTATCTTGTTTTGCCGATCATTTCTACTGTACAGTTGTAATTGTTTATATTTTTCTTTATCTTCTATATTTCTTGCCCTAAACTTAAAAAAGGTAAAAACTATAATTTAATGACTATAACTATTATTATACATCAGTATGTGTTTTTCTATATACCATGATATAAAAAAGGAATGAAATATTTGTGCTATTTCATTTCACAAACTATTTGCCAGTCAACAGTTTCAAAGACATAACCATGGTCAATAGTTTAACAAACAAACATTCCCGTACTTTTTCATCGTGTTCATACTAATATTTCAATGGACAACAATGACGTGATTAACTATTCTTCTATGATTTGTGTGCTTGACAACATTAAACTCTGAAATATTGTTAACGGTATAATATGTATGTGTCTGTCGTCAAAATTTCAAATTAATATATTACCATGATTACTTACAGAAGGAATTAAAACAAGAGGCTCACAAAATGAATGTGGTCTGAGAACTTAAATATTTCTAATTTACCTATTCAAACCATATCATTATCATTTGCTTTAATATATAAATCAGAAATAACCAATTTAAAATGGAAAATTTTAAAGAAAACAAAAGGAAAAAAAGGAAAAAAAAAACCATTATGAATCATCACCCCCAAACGCAATCCCAGCCTTCCCTATGTGGTATGGTACCTTGCATTACAA